TATGACGCGCCATGTGCACAAAAAATCGCCCCCCCAGAGAGGTGATCGGCTAATCTTTTTTGACCTATCCACTGCATACGTAGATGGATTATGACCTCCGAGGAAGGGTAGGACAGAAGTTCGAGCAAAGGGAAGTCCAGGACGTTGAGAAGGAAGCTCGAGAACGTCCATCACGTAATCACGTGACACGCATCAAACGACGCGTCAAAGCCTTTTACCTCCGCAATGTTGGTAACTTAACTGTCTGTCCCTAATACCTCCTTGAATTTAGTTATCTAACGGTCATAGGACGTCATTTGGCGCTACAGATGGCAGTGGGCACATTGACCACAAGTTTGATGGTAAAGAGCAGACCCCGCAGTCCGCTTTCGACCGGCGGTTATTGTGGTTTGTTGTCCAGGGACTTTTGCAAGCTCGCTTCCCTTTTGTCTTCCGCGGTGGCAGTCGTTCGCTACTCTAGATCTCGAAAAACTATACTTTCCTCGCATCTTTTATCTATCAACTCTCAGCTGCTTGTCGGCCTCCATGTGGGGGTGTTTTGTATTTCGTCAAACGGAAAGTGTGTTCAAACTTCAGATTAATGTTTTATGTGACTTGCCCTTCTGTCGAAGAACCTCTGTCTTAACTTAGGTCAACGGGACATTCGAAGAGTTATACCAGTTGCCATGTGCCACAAGAGAAAGGTGCGCCGAGAAGAAGGAGAAGATTATAGTAAGTGAGGCAAGGTAGGACAGATACAAACGGATCTGCCGGCATCGATATGGCCCATGAAATCCCTCGTACGTCTTTCTCGAGTTTGGGACCTTTGCTACTGTGGCTCGAGCTTTAGCTGGCAAATATTGCTGTGTTCATTCTATGGTGGCGAGAGTATGCAAAGTTGCCGCAACCGTACAGATGTACCAAGCCACTACTGAACTCGGAAGTGCCTTGCTGCTGTTCGAGCTGCAGCACATGCCCGATGCGATCATGAAGTATGTGAAGAGTGAAACATTTCATTGTTTCAACTCTCATCAGCTCTCTCACAAGAGTCGCAGCCGTGTCATGATCATATCACCTCTTCCCGTTTATGCTCCTGAAGGATTCTGAGGAGCTACGAACTCCCATAGATCAATCGATCACGGCCCGCCACAAGCTCTAAGATGGGTGGGGCGTAGCCACACTTCCTGATAGTCGCATCAAACGAATTCGTATCGTCGCCACCCTGTCACTGTGGCAATGTCTCTGTCGCGGCGAGAGTGGTCGCTGTTGCCGCACCGTTCTCTGATATAAAAGGGCAGGTTTTGCCCACAAATCTCTCCATCATCAACCTCAGGCTTCTCCTCCTACACAGAACACCTCCCTTAAACCGACCTTCTATTCTACTCCCAGAAATATCAACCTCAAACACAATATGCAGGTGTCATTGCCAGACCTTCCAAACGAATTGCTGCTGGAAATCATCAAACTTGTTGATGTCAACAAGGATCCAGATATACTCAGAAACCTTCGTCTGGTCTCCGTACACATAGGCCGGCTGCTTCCGATCGATGTCATGTTATCCCCCCGCAGCTTTACGAGGTTTGATGAGAGGTTTGGTTCTGCCTTTGATACCTCGTCGAGGAAAATCGCAACCAGTGCGAATGTTATTATGGAGGATCCAGACAACAAGGCCAAGTACATGTCGAAGGAGGAGTCGGATGCTGTGCCTGAAAAGTTGAGGCAGATTCTCAAAGTCTTAGGTTTGAACAAAATGGAAGTCCGAGATGCATGGGCAGCCCGGCGATGCGCAACAGTTCAGGAACTACCCATAAACTCTGTCTCGTACGTTATCGGTGAAGGCGATGCCGACCCGTCGGAAGACTGGGCTTGGCTAGAAGAATACATCCAGCAGTTACACTCGAAGCACGAGGGACGACTAAAAAGTTTGACGATTGGCAAAGCTGCCGGTTTGAATGACCTGACATCGGCTCCATTTAAAGCAAAACTACCTGAAATTGAGAAGATCATACTGGATGGGTTGAATCTCTCTGACATTGGTCAGATTTGCCAGAATGTGACTACGACAGACTTAACCTTCTCTTCCTTGATCTTCAACGGCGGGACCAACCATATCTCCCGGGACGACATCGAGAAGTCCTTGTTCAGCCCCACACTTGAGACTCAGGCCATTTTCTCGACAATCACTTCTCTTGAACTTGATATATACAGGGGCCCGAAGAATCCTGTCAAAGCGTTGCGTACAGCTCCTCGATGCATCCTGGAGCACTGTGCTGCACTAACCAAATTCTGGTTCTTCCTCCCGTGTTCTGAGAATTGGATAGCAGCACCTGAAGCCGATGAATTGATTGATCCGATCCCTCTCTATAGCCAAGCAAGGCTGACTGATATTGGCATTCCTCGGTCATACATCAAGACTGCGTATGGAGCCCAGAAACAATATCCATTACAAAAATTATGCGCCTTAATGAGATCCATTCATGAGAGATTCCCTAATGTGGATAGGTGCACGATCATGTGGCACAATCAAGCCGATGACAAAGAGGGCGATATGATTGAGGTGAGGAATGCGGCGACGGCCCTAGGCATTGACGTTGCAGAGAAATCATAGATGGTGATGGTTCCTGCGGAGCATTAGAATCGTATAAACATACAGTACAATATTGGCAGCTTAATGTCCTGTAGATAGAGCAAGGTATTTGAATTTAAAATAATTGGATTGTCGGATGAGATGAGAGCGGTGGGCAGGCCTCCCAATAATCCAGATTAATCCAGTCCACATCTTTGTGGTAGAACTGGCTTAAGCCTGGCCACAAGTTTGTGGTAGGCCCCAAACAGGCAATCAGGATTAATTTTTAGATTAATCCTGCTATCCCCAAAATTTCAGCCAGTGTGTTTGGGATTCTGAAATAGGAATTAGCTGACAAAGCAAATAAAGCCAAACATCTAGAAATTGGCCTGTTTGCCATTAGAAACTTTCATCACATAAATATTATGGCCTCAAATCTCAACAATACATAAGAATCAAGTCCCTGCCACATTGCTATACACTGCAAAGTCTATTCAAAGTTTGTACATAACCAGGGCCCACACTGATGCACAATACATCACTTGGACTTGGAATTTATGGAAAATATCAAGATGATAAGATTACTTTTCAGTGAATTCAAAAGTAAAGATAAGATAACAAGAGTATTATCAGTTATCTAAAGATAACATTATGATTGTATTGTTTGTGGATGTGATGACATTAGATCAAATTTGCTTACATAACACACAGGATTAATCCTAAGCTAACTAATATGAGCAAGAGCTAGGTGCAATGGTAAGTACTAGATACAAATTATGGGTTTGAATTGTATGACATAATACATTATGTAATCATCATGGATTAATCCTCGGAGAAAAAAGCATTTGGTTGGGGACGCACTTCCCATTGAGGATTAATCCTTAGGTGGGTGACAAAATTTTAGGATTAATCTCGAGTGTTGAAAGAAAATTTTGGGATTAATCCTCTATGGGAGAACTACTATTCTAGGATTAATCCTAGGACTCTGATTAGTCAGCTGACAATCACAGTCAAATAGCACCCACCAGAATAACTATGCTTCAAGGATTAATTCAAAAATCTGCCTGCAAATGGTTTTCCACAAACTTGTGGCCAGGATTAAGCCCTTCTGACCACAAAGTTGTGGAAGGGATTAATCGAGATGGTTGAGACTTGTGCGGTGGGTCATATAAGAATATATCCAAGCAAGCTGCGAGACCACAGGGGAACGAGCGGAGAGTAGGTGATTATCTTACCTCGACCTCAAGCCAGGTTAAGAAGTATACGTACAGTATGAGCTTAATCATTCACGTATATTTGTTTCAAAGAATCCTATTTTGATTGCCCCACACTGAGGCTGGCCTGATGTAACGTCCACTCAGTCGCTATTTCACTGTTTCTCCAGTGTACAGGCAGGCAAAGGGAAAACTGGGTGGGTTCGAAAGTGATGTGGGGGAGCAGGGCGACGACGAACGTGGTGGTCGAGCTCTCATCCGATATCCAAACCGGGTATCAGTTCCATACATAACACATAACATCCTCGAGGAACGGAACGTTCAACATACCGTCATCATCAACTCCAATTCCTCCGGTTCTGGGAACTACCTAAGAACGTTAACCACATTCATGAGGGGTCCCAAATCAACAAACTCTTAACCGTATGGTACGATCCATCATTCCCATCCAAAGATAATGAAGTAGAGATACTTTTCCCCACCCGCCAGACATTCCTTCTCTCATCCGTTAAAATCCCTCTAACAACATCCCAATCCTCCTTCAACACCTCCAAATTCGGCAAAAGCTTCTGGTCCAACTTGATTCTCCAGGATCTCCAAGTATGCAACGCCAACTCTCCGATCTGGGGATGCCGCTCCAGGAAACAGGGTACATCCCTCTCAGGCTCCGAAATAGTCCAGCTAAAAGGTCGAAGAGAGGGAAAGGACCAGGTCTTCATAAGAACTAGGACATATTGCGGTCGTGTCGATCCTGAAAGCCTGAACAATCCAGCGATTCTAGATTGGACAGATTCGAGAGACTATGCACAAGTGGAGCCCTAGTTGAAGTCAAATCGAGAACGATCGAACGTATCTGGCATGTCTGGAAGAGTTTGAGATTACTTCAACTGGAGGAAGAGGATGAGGGAATCTACGAAGTCGAAACATTCGTGTGGGATGGTGTGATAGAGCCAATGAATCGCTTCCTGGTACCACGTTCTGGAAGCGGGAATGAGAGAACATAACGTTTGTTTGTAGGAAGAGTTGACTTGTTCTGCGATTGGACGGTACAGTTCGAGCGGTAGGGTTGGACTCGGACGGGCGTCAGGAGCAAACCTGACCTCGGTGATAACGTCAGATGCCACGCTATCAACCAAAGAAAACCAACTTCAAGGCTCCAGATTAGCGCTAGCTATCAATGGTCTTCAAAAAACTCTCTTCCTTGCAAAAAATCTAGCTACCAGGTGGGCAACTCATCCAACGTCTCTTACCGGGATTCGAACCCAGATATCACGGAGAAGAATACGCGTTCAAATTTGGTCCCATTTCCGTGCGTACTTTGCCATTGTACGATAAGAGACAATGACTTCCTGCCCGTCAGATTGTCAAGTGCTCGAGCTCGCGAGTTCTTTCGTCATCCCTCAAATGTGATGATCGTTTCGTGCAAGACCTTCGATCAGGTACCTCCCAAAAGACTAAAACGTTTGCAGATCCACCCCATGACATTGAAAGCCCTACACTTACCTCTAAATCTAGATACTAAAAACTATCAAACAGAGAAAGCATCGGAATGTCTCTTACTGGGATTCGAACCCAAATATCATGAAAGATCGTCTTTACCGGCCGTACACTATTTTCATGCGTACTTTCCATTGTACGATAAGAGACAGGTTGGCTAGCATTTCTAATTCGCTAAGCGCTGGAACGTTGACCGCTCTTACTTTGCCTTATCCAGCAATCCCAGATTCTCATTCACAAGAAGTCGAACTCCGGAGGTCTTTGGTCGCCTCTCGAACTTCCGAATAGATACCGAGTCTATCATCGATTGGTCTCGGCCACGATAAAAAATGAACGCACCCAATCACGGAGGGATCGAATCTCTTACTGGGGTTCGAACCCAGGTCCCAGGCATCGACACAATGGCCGTTGCCCTGCGTACCCTCCCGCTGTACTGTACCATAAGAGATCGTGATACCTGTACCAAGCTTCCCTCAACTTAACGAAAGTCTCCATCGATTCGTACAAAACCTGAATTCTAACTGTACTCCGGTGCGTCAATCCAGCTGTCCGTGACATCCAACATTATTCTCTCCCTGCCAAAAATATTCCCTCTCTTTGTCTAGTGTCTCTTACCGGATTCGAACCCGGATATCGGAGGAATTCCTATTCGGCGAATACTATCCATTGTACCATAAGAGACAAGTCGACCAGCCCTTCTCTTACAATTCGTCAAGCACATTCACCTCGACTCATCTCATACCAGCTGCAGCAACCGCTCCGAAACCCGGCACTCCTCCCGTTCCTCTGGGCCAAAAGTCAACGGGTTCCAAAGAGAAATTGTCACCCTGCCAGTGAATAATACACCGCAATCGCAACACCAAATTCAACACCGCTGAAGAAATCCACTCCTTTTCCTCATTCTCCTCCTGGGGCGCAATAGTCTTCACCGCCCTTCATATCGGTGTCAAAAAAAAATTATCCGCACCCATAGCGAAGTGGAATGTCTCTGACCGGGATTCGAACCCGCCTGCCATGGGTATCCAAGTATTGCATTCTCATACGTACTATCCATTGTATGATAAGACACAATGTGTTCATGCGTTCCGATTTGTCAAATGCCGGGGCTTGTCCTTAGCTTCCTTCATCCCAGAATCGAATCAAAGTACAAGTCGGCCTGCAAAAAGTTGATCCACCTCTCATCTATGCCGTTCCTCTCGGAGTTAGCATACGAGGTCCTGGTTCAAAAAAGAATGTATCCTGAGGGCCCTGTCAGAACGTTCGACGAACCCGACGACCACCCTGACGGATCGCCTGAACCAAACCTCCTCGAGGCTTCACATCACGGCAATACTTAGATTCCCGCTCCTCCGGAAAAGACACGGCGGGATGAACCTCCCGACATATCGTGTGAATGGTAAATTATCCGTTTGAACCCATTATATCCAACTAAATCCCAGTCGTGCAAAAAAGAGGAAGAAAGAGGTCGAGGACGAGGTCAACCGTGTTGTGTAAAACCTGTCGAGAAATGTACTCTGCATACACGAAGTTATAACCCAATAAACCCCATTGTAAGATGGCAGAAATGCGTAGATAAAGGGAGATCAAAAGAAGCAAGTGGAAATTAAAAAGGCTCGTAAGTGATGGTAGGCGGCGATAGACTGACATGAGACGGACGTGCAGGAGAAGATGAAGGAGAAAGCCGGTATCGAGAAATGTAGGGTAAAGATCTGTCTATCCACACGCCAAGTTTTCAAAGCGAGACTATTCAAAGAGAGTAGAGGGGTCCAAAGAGCGACGAAGCGAGAGCAGAAGCTACACGAGGACGACGCAACGTTTCTACAAGTCGCGGTTGTAGGCATTGACGCCCTTGATGTTGATGAAGGAGTACTGGAAGAAGACGTAAGAACGAGTTAGGGTAACGAGAGCCAAGACCAACGTACCTCCGCCAAATCAGCAGATCCTCCACGGTTGTAGTTCTGATAGACCAAGTTGGGCTGTAAAAAGACCATGAGGAACGCTCCAGCACGAGGAAATAGAGGAAAACACAAACCTCGGTCCAGAAAGGCCTCAAACCCACGTATTCCAAGTTCTCCCACCATTTCAGGAGGTATTCGAAGGAACGGCCCCAGACGTGGAGCTCGATGGAGAGCTGGCCGACAGGGAACGCAGAACCCTCAGCATGCTTGGAACCACCTTCCAGATAGGGCTTGACGAAAGTCTCAAGGGTATCGAACTCCCAGCTTTCGATATCAATCTTGAGCAAGTCGATATGGGTATGACCTAGATGACGGGCGTTCAGCGTTATATAAGATAAGAACAGGAAAGATAACGTACCGTTCATGCGCATCAACGACTCGAGCGTATACATAGGGTTCTTGTCGTCGGGACCGTGGCTATCCTTGCCAGCGAGGCCGTAAGGGAAGAAGTGCGTCCTGCTTTGGTCAGCCCAGGGGATCTCAGGACCGAACGACTTCACGCTGAAATCATAACCCCAGATTTCACAGTGTTTGGTGTTGGCGAGGATTGCGGCTTCAAACGATGATTCGTAGTTGATACCTAATGTATGCGCGCCGATATGAGCCAAGGTCTGACGATGCGCACATATATGCGGTTAAAAGAGACGAACCGAAGGAATAGATAACACAATTCTTCTTCTCACGAAGTCTAGTCAACCCGCAAATCCACTTCCCTCCATCACCGAGAGCACCATGCCTCTCAACCTCATGCGGGCAGTTGAATGCGGCAGGGAGATAATCCCCTATAGTGGGATAAAAATGAGCGGTTTACCGCGTGTTGAAACGGCATAACATACAGAGGGTATAAGGTGGCCATGGCTCCACGTCAGGAGGGAAGCTACGGTACCGTTATCGCGTTAAAAAAAGCGGACACCCGAAGAAGAAAGCCACGTACTTTGTGATTTTGTCTGGCGTAGGACCAAACTTTTTGATGAGCTGGTTCCGCTGTTGTTTTGTGCGGTCATAGATATGTTCGGCACGAATCAGCCTTGACTGAAGCTCTGTCGAGTTCATGTTAATCGACAAAGACCCGAGACCGACCGGTCTGGTGTTGTAGGGACTGAGGATGTAGAAGGTGGAGACCAGGAGGAAAGCGAGGAGAACAGCATAACGAGGGTGTCGTTGGAAAAGCCCAGCCATGTTGAGATGACGGGATATAGAGAGATAGTAAAAGTGTTGGAGTGAGGAAGAAAAAAGGGCGGTGTTGCGAGTTGTTTATGTACCGCGCCACCGCCGACATTCGTTTGTCACGCCCCTGCTTCTTGTTCAGAAAAAACATAGTCCGCCCTCGACATGGGGAGAGGACGCGGCTTCCAATAATACACTCGAGCGGCAACAGGTTTGTCACGCCCGGCATACTTCGACTTCGTGATTAACCTGGCGAAGGCTCCTTGAGAATTCCGAGTCCACGAGGCGCTGGCAGAAGTGTGTTGGTGGAGGAAAAGTGTTGCCGACTGGACTGCAGTTTACGGATTGTGGGTGGGGTTTCTCCATAGTGTAAAGGACGACCTGGGGCACTCTTAGCGAGGTCGGCTAGGCCAATATTTCCTGTTTGTTGATTCCGCGTACGACATCTCGACATTCATACACTGCACATCACGCCCGAAAGCAGCTTGTGCTTCAGTTAGCTTGGCATTGAGCATTTCGATTTCAAAAATGAGGCCTGAGGTCGAAGATGCACCCACCCCGATACCAATCACAAGAAAGCATTAATTAGAATATTTGTTAGATACTTCAATACATTGTCAACTATTTACGAGCATCCTCCTTAAATCAATTCATTCGTCGATGAGTCACCCAGTCGTAATCCGGAAGCTCTCCCTTATGAAGGGTCTTGAGTACTTTGCGGGAAATACCATCACTCCCATCCTCTGGCTTCGTAAAGACCTCAACTTCGATCCGGGGTCGCATACTCGAACTCCAGCCCTCACACACAAATACCTCTTTCACCGTAGTTCCCCAGTTCAATATCTCGGGTACATAGTCGTCCACTAAAGTCGAACGACGGACATCGCCAAAATCCATAGCATACAAGACGACCAGGCGCTTGAGGTTCAAGAACCTTTCGATAGTTGATGGGAGGACGTCCGAGAGGTAAACATTACCAAGAACGAGGGTCTCGATGTTGGCAAAGGTTGGTTGTAATGCAGGGAGATGGACCTTTGCCGGATGGGAGCTCTCCCTTCCAAGAAGTTCTAAGGTTTGGAGACGAGACCCAAAGCCAGTTGATTCCAACAACTCGAAGAAAGTATCCAAGTCAGTTTCGGCGTTCACAGTGGACATGTCCCAGACAAGCCTTTTGACAGGTCGATCTGACTCTCTCTGAGTGAAAAATTGTTCCAAGAACCTGAGAGGTCCACCAATACTTTCGACGTTGGGGAGTACAGTCCTTTGTTGCTCGAGGGTACCAGAAAAGTCGGAGTCACCATGGAAGAACCGGATAGTCGGATGAGATTTCAAAAAGGACTCCAAGAACTCTCGATCGTTGGGGGGATAGATCAACTTGTTCCCCGTGCCACAAGTCCAACTGAAGGTCACCAGTTTGGGGAAGCTGCAACCTCCCAGAAGGTGTTCAGCGGAGAACTTCACGTCACCTGGAGTGGCCGGAGGTTCCGTTTCGCCGTGAAGACATAAAACCTGGAGGTTTTCCATCGCTTTCAAAGCAGTATTGATTAAAGGCCCAAGTCGAAGCTGGGTTGCATAGCCAGACATCCTGAGGTATCCGAACCGATAGCTGTGGACCAATTTGGATAGTCTGTCGTTGTTCGACACAGATGCTAAAAACTTCTCGTGTCCCTCCAAATCGATTGAACAGTCTGGACCGGGTTGATAAAGGTGGTGAGTTGCTATCTGAGACCAAGACTTGCAGACGAGTGCTAGGGCTCGTAAATCTGCATCTTCGCATATAGTGTGTAAAATGTCATCGGGAACTTCGGCGGCCATTTTGAGAGTTTATTGGGAGGGGTAGAAGGTAAAGGAAGATGGGGAGTACTCGTCGGGCGATTGGGCATTTATACGAGGTTGAATACGTGCTGTTCTGGTCAAAGGAATGGACTCTTGGATGGGGGAACCCCCACAAGAACTGCATACAGAGCATCGAGCATCCCACACCGGGTTGCGGGCCAGCCGTTCAACTCCCTGAATCGTGGAAGCTGATATCAGCTCAGTCATTGGGATGTTGAACCCGTCTACTTGCATCTATCGATGGTGTTCGGTGGTGTTCGACAAAGGTTCGTGATCATCGATCAGGACTCGGTTGCCCAGTTGTCCTAAAATGACTGGTGGATCCAAGTCGTCTGACGATTTAACTTCCAGAGCTGTGAATTCATTGTGTGTACTCACCCAGGCTGATATAATTGCGCCAAAGACCTTCGGTGAAGAGTGGGAAGGATCGCATCGTATCCAGCAAGGATTTGTGCTGTAGACCAAAGTGTACATGTCATTGCTGTGGTGGTGTAGTCAGTCTGGGACCACTTTTGGTCTTAAGGCTGTCTAAATCTTTGTGACTGGATGTCGTTACTAGAGGATGTCCACATTCCTTTGAACGATGCTGGGAACAATGACGAGAGAGGCCTCATCTCGCCACGTGGTGGAAAGCGGGTGGAAAGTGGGCCAAATAAACACACGCACGCGAGCCTCTCTCGTGTTTCCTTTCTCAAATTGACAATGTCAAGAAGCTTTCGC